CTTCACTCTTGGTTGCTTCACCAGTCATGTGCAAATATTTTGTCTAGTCTCACTCATGCATTTTGTCAATCCTTCAGTTGGTGGTATTCCGCTTCACTCTTGGTTGCTTCACTAGTCATGCGCAAGTGTTTTGTCTAGTCTCACTCATGATTTTGTCATTCCTTCACTTGGTGATGTTCCGCTTCACCCTTGGTTGCTCCGCTGTCATGTAAAAGTGTTTTGTCTACTTCCACGGTTGTATTTCGTAAATCTCTCACTTGGTGATGTTCCACTGCACTCATTAGTTGCTTCACTAGTCATGTGCGATTGTTTTGTCTAGTGTCACTCGTGCATTTTATCAATCCTTCACTTGGTGATGTTCCGCTTCGCCCTTAGTTGCTCCGCTAGTTATGTGCAAATGTTTTGTCTAGTTCCACGCTTGTGTTTTGCAAGTCTCTCAATTGGTGATGTTCCACCTCACTTTTGGATGCTTCCACTTGTCGTATGTATGTGGTAAGACTGTGTGCTTGTAACAGTTCGTCTCCTTGTGCTCTATTTGAACACCGCTTCATCCCCCTGCGCTCTATTTGAACACAACTTCACCCCCCCTGCTCTATTTGAACACCACTTCGCCCTCCCCCACCGTGTTGTATTTGAATGCCACTTCTCCCCTCCCCGTACCAAGTGTCGGGAATCATTTGGCCTACGGGTCTAAGCTCTGTTTGCCTAACCTCCTCGTGTTTTATTTGAATCCCGCTGATCCAACACTAGACTAACAAAAACCGTGCTTCCCCTAGTAAAAAAATCGGGCTAGGTCCAAAGGTTGATCTCCTCTATTACTAGGGTAGATTAAGATTGATACGCCTAGTCTCGTCGATGGAGAGCTGTTTTACATTCATTTCATATTTTCGCACCCTTGTTTGGAGTTTCTCCGATTTGGAAGAATCCTTCCTTTCTCACGCTGAGTTCTCCCATTCTGTAGCGCCCTTGGGCTAGGTCCAGAGGTGTGTAACTCCGAGGCTTCCGCAAAAAAGTTGTTGTGTGGAAAACCCTGGTCCTTTTTCCTTTTTTCCCTTTCACACCCTCCCACTTCTCTCCCAGCCCCTTTCTTTTCTGTCAGGCTTACCACACCCCCGCTCACACACTCTTCTTGACCCATTACTTTCGGAAGTTGCCCTTCCTGGCCCGTTACTTTCATCAGTTGCCCCCTGAGGGGCTTAATCACCCCCCATCCTTCATCTACTCACTTTCAAGACTGAGGCTAGGAGCCTCCTCCATTAAAGTTTAACCTAGAAGTGGTGGCTGCAAGGACGAACGCGAGAGTCCGCGGCAGCGAGGAACGGTCATCGCTTTGAACGATTCTTCGGAACAGTCACCAGAAACTCTGGCAGATTAAGGATACTTTGAACAAACGGCGGCGGGAGTCCGATGGAGTTCAACATGCAGTGCTTGAACTGTGGAGTGTGAACTAAGATGGGTCTATGTGATAGGGCAGTGCCATAGGCCTCAAAATGGCGATGACGAGGTATTGAGAGTGAATGATGTCGAACTGAGGAATAAACGGGATGTTATTCACAGTTCAGGGGGTGATAATGGCGTTAATGATGATGATGCTGACAATAGTGATGATGAGGACAATGGGGATGATGAGGACAATAATGGTGATGTGAATCACTGGAATCAGAAGACTGGGGATGGAGATAATGATGGTGATAATGAAACGTCGAAATTGGTGCAATCACCTCAAAATGGTGATAGTGATCATGGTGATGACGATGATGATGATGAGGATAATGCTGATCTGAATCTTTGGAATCAGAAGACTGGGGATGGAGATAATGATGGTGATAATGAAACGTCGAAATTGGTGCAATCACCTCAAAATGGTGATAGTGATCATGGTGATGACGATGATGATGATGAGGATAATGCTGATCTGAATCTTTGGAATCAGAAGACTGGGGATGGAGATAATGATGGTGATAATGAAACGTCGAAATTGGTGCAATCACCTCAAAATGGTGATAGTGATCATGGTGATGACGATGATGATGATGAGGATAATGCTGATCTGAATCTTTGGAATCAGAAGACTGGGGATGGAGATAATGATGGTGATAATGAAACGTCGAAATTGGTGCAATCACCTCAAAATGGTGATAGTGATCATGGTGATGACGATGATGATGATGAGGATAATGCTGATCTGAATCTTTGGAATCAGAAGACTGGGGATGGAGATAATGATGGTGATAATGAAACGTCGAAATTGGTGCAATCACCTCAAAATGGTGATAGTGATCATGGTGATGACGATGATGATGATGAGGATAATGCTGATCTGAATCTTTGGAATCAGAAGACTGGGGATGGAGATAATGATGGTGATAATGAAACGTCGAAATTGGTGCAATCACCTCAAAATGGTGATAGTGATCATGGTGATGACGATGATGATGATGAGGATAATGCTGATCTGAATCTTTGGAATCAGAAGACTGGGGATGGAGATAATGATGGTGATAATGAAACGTCGAAATTGGTGCAATCACCTCAAAATGGTGATAGTGATCATGGTGATGACGATGATGATGATGAGGATAATGCTGATCTGAATCTTTGGAATCAGAAGACTGGGGATGGAGATAATGATGGTGATAATGAAACGTCGAAATTGGTGCAATCACCTCAAAATGGTGATAGTGATCATGGTGATGACGATGATGATGATGAGGATAATGCTGATCTGAATCTTTGGAATCAGAAGACTGGGGATGGAGATAATGATGGTGATAATGAAACGTCGAAATTGGTGCAATCACCTCAAAATGGTGATAGTGATCATGGTGATGACGATGATGATGATGAGGATAATGCTGATCTGAATCTTTGGAATCAGAAGACTGGGGATGGAGATAATGATGGTGATAATGAAACGTCGAAATTGGTGCAATCACCTCAAAATGGTGATAGTGATCATGGTGATGACGATGATGATGATGAGGATAATGCTGATCTGAATCTTTGGAATCAGAAGACTGGGGATGGAGATAATGATGGTGATAATGAAACGTCGAAATTGGTGCAATCACCTCAAAATGGTGATAGTGATCATGGTGATGACGATGATGATGATGAGGATAATGCTGATCTGAATCTTTGGAATCAGAAGACTGGGGATGGAGATAATGATGGTGATAATGAAACGTCGAAATTGGTGCAATCACCTCAAAATGGTGATAGTGATCATGGTGATGACGATGATGATGATGAGGATAATGCTGATCTGAATCTTTGGAATCAGAAGACTGGGGATGGAGATAATGATGGTGATAATGAAACGTCGAAATTGGTGCAATCACCTCAAAATGGTGATAGTGATCATGGTGATGACGATGATGATGATGAGGATAATGCTGATCTGAATCTTTGGAATCAGAAGACTGGGGATGGAGATAATGATGGTGATAATGAAACGTCGAAATTGGTGCAATCACCTCAAAATGGTGATAGTGATCATGGTGATGACGATGATGATGATGAGGATAATGCTGATCTGAATCTTTGGAATCAGAAGACTGGGGATGGAGATAATGATGGTGATAATGAAACGTCGAAATTGGTGCAATCACCTCAAAATGGTGATAGTGATCATGGTGATGACGATGATGATGATGAGGATAATGCTGATCTGAATCTTTGGAATCAGAAGACTGGGGATGGAGATAATGATGGTGATAATGAAACGTCGAAATTGGTGCAATCACCTCAAAATGGTGATAGTGATCATGGTGATGACGATGATGATGATGAGGATAATGCTGATCTGAATCTTTGGAATCAGAAGACTGGGGATGGAGATAATGATGGTGATAATGAAACGTCGAAATTGGTGCAATCACCTCAAAATGGTGATAGTGATCATGGTGATGACGATGATGATGATGAGGATAATGCTGATCTGAATCTTTGGAATCAGAAGACTGGGGATGGAGATAATGATGGTGATAATGAAACGTCGAAATTGGTGCAATCACCTCAAAATGGTGATAGTGATCATGGTGATGACGATGATGATGATGAGGATAATGCTGATCTGAATCTTTGGAATCAGAAGACTGGGGATGGAGATAATGATGGTGATAATGAAACGTCGAAATTGGTGCAATCACCTCAAAATGGTGATAGTGATCATGGTGATGACGATGATGATGATGAGGATAATGCTGATCTGAATCTTTGGAATCAGAAGACTGGGGATGGAGATAATGATGGTGATAATGAAACGTCGAAATTGGTGCAATCACCTCAAAATGGTGATAGTGATCATGGTGATGACGATGATGATGATGAGGATAATGCTGATCTGAATCTTTGGAATCAGAAGACTGGGGATGGAGATAATGATGGTGATAATGAAACGTCGAAATTGGTGCAATCACCTCAAAATGGTGATAGTGATCATGGTGATGACGATGATGATGATGAGGATAATGCTGATCTGAATCTTTGGAATCAGAAGACTGGGGATGGAGATAATGATGGTGATAATGAAACGTCGAAATTGGTGCAATCACCTCAAAATGGTGATAGTGATCATGGTGATGACGATGATGATGATGAGGATAATGCTGATCTGAATCTTTGGAATCAGAAGACTGGGGATGGAGATAATGATGGTGATAATGAAACGTCGAAATTGGTGCAATCACCTCAAAATGGTGATAGTGATCATGGTGATGACGATGATGATGATGAGGATAATGCTGATCTGAATCTTTGGAATCAGAAGACTGGGGATGGAGATAATGATGGTGATAATGAAACGTCGAAATTGGTGCAATCACCTCAAAATGGTGATAGTGATCATGGTGATGACGATGATGATGATGAGGATAATGCTGATCTGAATCTTTGGAATCAGAAGACTGGGGATGGAGATAATGATGGTGATAATGAAACGTCGAAATTGGTGCAATCACCTCAAAATGGTGATAGTGATCATGGTGATGACGATGATGATGATGAGGATAATGCTGATCTGAATCTTTGGAATCAGAAGACTGGGGATGGAGATAATGATGGTGATAATGAAACGTCGAAATTGGTGCAATCACCTCAAAATGGTGATAGTGATCATGGTGATGACGATGATGATGATGAGGATAATGCTGATCTGAATCTTTGGAATCAGAAGACTGGGGATGGAGATAATGATGGTGATAATGAAACGTCGAAATTGGTGCAATCACCTCAAAATGGTGATAGTGATCATGGTGATGACGATGATGATGATGAGGATAATGCTGATCTGAATCTTTGGAATCAGAAGACTGGGGATGGAGATAATGATGGTGATAATGAAACGTCGAAATTGGTGCAATCACCTCAAAATGGTGATAGTGATCATGGTGATGACGATGATGATGATGAGGATAATGCTGATCTGAATCTTTGGAATCAGAAGACTGGGGATGGAGATAATGATGGTGATAATGAAACGTCGAAATTGGTGCAATCACCTCAAAATGGTGATAGTGATCATGGTGATGACGATGATGATGATGAGGATAATGCTGATCTGAATCTTTGGAATCAGAAGACTGGGGATGGAGATAATGATGGTGATAATGAAACGTCGAAATTGGTGCAATCACCTCAAAATGGTGATAGTGATCATGGTGATGACGATGATGATGATGAGGATAATGCTGATCTGAATCTTTGGAATCAGAAGACTGGGGATGGAGATAATGATGGTGATAATGAAACGTCGAAATTGGTGCAATCACCTCAAAATGGTGATAGTGATCATGGTGATGACGATGATGATGATGAGGATAATGCTGATCTGAATCTTTGGAATCAGAAGACTGGGGATGGAGATAATGATGGTGATAATGAAACGTCGAAATTGGTGCAATCACCTCAAAATGGTGATAGTGATCATGGTGATGACGATGATGATGATGAGGATAATGCTGATCTGAATCTTTGGAATCAGAAGACTGGGGATGGAGATAATGATGGTGATAATGAAACGTCGAAATTGGTGCAATCACCTCAAAATGGTGATAGTGATCATGGTGATGACGATGATGATGATGAGGATAATGCTGATCTGAATCTTTGGAATCAGAAGACTGGGGATGGAGATAATGATGGTGATAATGAAACGTCGAAATTGGTGCAATCACCTCAAAATGGTGATAGTGATCATGGTGATGACGATGATGATGATGAGGATAATGCTGATCTGAATCTTTGGAATCAGAAGACTGGGGATGGAGATAATGATGGTGATAATGAAACGTCGAAATTGGTGCAATCACCTCAAAATGGTGATAGTGATCATGGTGATGACGATGATGATGATGAGGATAATGCTGATCTGAATCTTTGGAATCAGAAGACTGGGGATGGAGATAATGATGGTGATAATGAAACGTCGAAATTGGTGCAATCACCTCAAAATGGTGATAGTGATCATGGTGATGACGATGATGATGATGAGGATAATGCTGATCTGAATCTTTGGAATCAGAAGACTGGGGATGGAGATAATGATGGTGATAATGAAACGTCGAAATTGGTGCAATCACCTCAAAATGGTGATAGTGATCATGGTGATGACGATGATGATGATGAGGATAATGCTGATCTGAATCTTTGGAATCAGAAGACTGGGGATGGAGATAATGATGGTGATAATGAAACGTCGAAATTGGTGCAATCACCTCAAAATGGTGATAGTGATCATGGTGATGACGATGATGATGATGAGGATAATGCTGATCTGAATCTTTGGAATCAGAAGACTGGGGATGGAGATAATGATGGTGATAATGAAACGTCGAAATTGGTGCAATCACCTCAAAATGGTGATAGTGATCATGGTGATGACGATGATGATGATGAGGATAATGCTGATCTGAATCTTTGGAATCAGAAGACTGGGGATGGAGATAATGATGGTGATAATGAAACGTCGAAATTGGTGCAATCACCTCAAAATGGTGATAGTGATCATGGTGATGACGATGATGATGATGAGGATAATGCTGATCTGAATCTTTGGAATCAGAAGACTGGGGATGGAGATAATGATGGTGATAATGAAACGTCGAAATTGGTGCAATCACCTCAAAATGGTGATAGTGATCATGGTGATGACGATGATGATGATGAGGATAATGCTGATCTGAATCTTTGGAATCAGAAGACTGGGGATGGAGATAATGATGGTGATAATGAAACGTCGAAATTGGTGCAATCACCTCAAAATGGTGATAGTGATCATGGTGATGACGATGATGATGATGAGGATAATGCTGATCTGAATCTTTGGAATCAGAAGACTGGGGATGGAGATAATGATGGTGATAATGAAACGTCGAAATTGGTGCAATCACCTCAAAATGGTGATAGTGATCATGGTGATGACGATGATGATGATGAGGATAATGCTGATCTGAATCTTTGGAATCAGAAGACTGGGGATGGAGATAATGATGGTGATAATGAAACGTCGAAATTGGTGCAATCACCTCAAAATGGTGATAGTGATCATGGTGATGACGATGATGATGATGAGGATAATGCTGATCTGAATCTTTGGAATCAGAAGACTGGGGATGGAGATAATGATGGTGATAATGAAACGTCGAAATTGGTGCAATCACCTCAAAATGGTGATAGTGATCATGGTGATGACGATGATGATGATGAGGATAATGCTGATCTGAATCTTTGGAATCAGAAGACTGGGGATGGAGATAATGATGGTGATAATGAAACGTCGAAATTGGTGCAATCACCTCAAAATGGTGATAGTGATCATGGTGATGACGATGATGATGATGAGGATAATGCTGATCTGAATCTTTGGAATCAGAAGACTGGGGATGGAGATAATGATGGTGATAATGAAACGTCGAAATTGGTGCAATCACCTCAAAATGGTGATAGTGATCATGGTGATGACGATGATGATGATGAGGATAATGCTGATCTGAATCTTTGGAATCAGAAGACTGGGGATGGAGATAATGATGGTGATAATGAAACGTCGAAATTGGTGCAATCACCTCAAAATGGTGATAGTGATCATGGTGATGACGATGATGATGATGAGGATAATGCTGATCTGAATCTTTGGAATCAGAAGACTGGGGATGGAGATAATGATGGTGATAATGAAACGTCGAAATTGGTGCAATCACCTCAAAATGGTGATAGTGATCATGGTGATGACGATGATGATGATGAGGATAATGCTGATCTGAATCTTTGGAATCAGAAGACTGGGGATGGAGATAATGATGGTGATAATGAAACGTCGAAATTGGTGCAATCACCTCAAAATGGTGATAGTGATCATGGTGATGACGATGATGATGATGAGGATAATGCTGATCTGAATCTTTGGAATCAGAAGACTGGGGATGGAGATAATGATGGTGATAATGAAACGTCGAAATTGGTGCAATCACCTCAAAATGGTGATAGTGATCATGGTGATGACGATGATGATGATGAGGATAATGCTGATCTGAATCTTTGGAATCAGAAGACTGGGGATGGAGATAATGATGGTGATAATGAAACGTCGAAATTGGTGCAATCACCTCAAAATGGTGATAGTGATCATGGTGATGACGATGATGATGATGAGGATAATGCTGATCTGAATCTTTGGAATCAGAAGACTGGGGATGGAGATAATGATGGTGATAATGAAACGTCGAAATTGGTGCAATCACCTCAAAATGGTGATAGTGATCATGGTGATGACGATGATGATGATGAGGATAATGCTGATCTGAATCTTTGGAATCAGAAGACTGGGGATGGAGATAATGATGGTGATAATGAAACGTCGAAATTGGTGCAATCACCTCAAAATGGTGATAGTGATCATGGTGATGACGATGATGATGATGAGGATAATGCTGATCTGAATCTTTGGAATCAGAAGACTGGGGATGGAGATAATGATGGTGATAATGAAACGTCGAAATTGGTGCAATCACCTCAAAATGGTGATAGTGATCATGGTGATGACGATGATGATGATGAGGATAATGCTGATCTGAATCTTTGGAATCAGAAGACTGGGGATGGAGATAATGATGGTGATAATGAAACGTCGAAATTGGTGCAATCACCTCAAAATGGTGATAGTGATCATGGTGATGACGATGATGATGATGAGGATAATGCTGATCTGAATCTTTGGAATCAGAAGACTGGGGATGGAGATAATGATGGTGATAATGAAACGTCGAAATTGGTGCAATCACCTCAAAATGGTGATAGTGATCATGGTGATGACGATGATGATGATGAGGATAATGCTGATCTGAATCTTTGGAATCAGAAGACTGGGGATGGAGATAATGATGGTGATAATGAAACGTCGAAATTGGTGCAATCACCTCAAAATGGTGATAGTGATCATGGTGATGACGATGATGATGATGAGGATAATGCTGATCTGAATCTTTGGAATCAGAAGACTGGGGATGGAGATAATGATGGTGATAATGAAACGTCGAAATTGGTGCAATCACCTCAAAATGGTGATAGTGATCATGGTGATGACGATGATGATGATGAGGATAATGCTGATCTGAATCTTTGGAATCAGAAGACTGGGGATGGAGATAATGATGGTGATAATGAAACGTCGAAATTGGTGCAATCACCTCAAAATGGTGATAGTGATCATGGTGATGACGATGATGATGATGAGGATAATGCTGATCTGAATCTTTGGAATCAGAAGACTGGGGATGGAGATAATGATGGTGATAATGAAACGTCGAAATTGGTGCAATCACCTCAAAATGGTGATAGTGATCATGGTGATGACGATGATGATGATGAGGATAATGCTGATCTGAATCTTTGGAATCAGAAGACTGGGGATGGAGATAATGATGGTGATAATGAAACGTCGAAATTGGTGCAATCACCTCAAAATGGTGATAGTGATCATGGTGATGACGATGATGATGATGAGGATAATGCTGATCTGAATCTTTGGAATCAGAAGACTGGGGATGGAGATAATGATGGTGATAATGAAACGTCGAAATTGGTGCAATCACCTCAAAATGGTGATAGTGATCATGGTGATGACGATGATGATGATGAGGATAATGCTGATCTGAATCTTTGGAATCAGAAGACTGGGGATGGAGATAATGATGGTGATAATGAAACGTCGAAATTGGTGCAATCACCTCAAAATGGTGATAGTGATCATGGTGATGACGATGATGATGATGAGGATAATGCTGATCTGAATCTTTGGAATCAGAAGACTGGGGATGGAGATAATGATGGTGATAATGAAACGTCGAAATTGGTGCAATCACCTCAAAATGGTGATAGTGATCATGGTGATGACGATGATGATGATGAGGATAATGCTGATCTGAATCTTTGGAATCAGAAGACTGGGGATGGAGATAATGATGGTGATAATGAAACGTCGAAATTGGTGCAATCACCTCAAAATGGTGATAGTGATCATGGTGATGACGATGATGATGATGAGGATAATGCTGATCTGAATCTTTGGAATCAGAAGACTGGGGATGGAGATAATGATGGTGATAATGAAACGTCGAAATTGGTGCAATCACCTCAAAATGGTGATAGTGATCATGGTGATGACGATGATGATGATGAGGATAATGCTGATCTGAATCTTTGGAATCAGAAGACTGGGGATGGAGATAATGATGGTGATAATGAAACGTCGAAATTGGTGCAATCACCTCAAAATGGTGATAGTGATCATGGTGATGACGATGATGATGATGAGGATAATGCTGATCTGAATCTTTGGAATCAGAAGACTGGGGATGGAGATAATGATGGTGATAATGAAACGTCGAAATTGGTGCAATCACCTCAAAATGGTGATAGTGATCATGGTGATGACGATGATGATGATGAGGATAATGCTGATCTGAATCTTTGGAATCAGAAGACTGGGGATGGAGATAATGATGGTGATAATGAAACGTCGAAATTGGTGCAATCACCTCAAAATGGTGATAGTGATCATGGTGATGACGATGATGATGATGAGGATAATGCTGATCTGAATCTTTGGAATCAGAAGACTGGGGATGGAGATAATGATGGTGATAATGAAACGTCGAAATTGGTGCAATCACCTCAAAATGGTGATAGTGATCATGGTGATGACGATGATGATGATGAGGATAATGCTGATCTGAATCTTTGGAATCAGAAGACTGGGGATGGAGATAATGATGGTGATAATGAAACGTCGAAATTGGTGCAATCACCTCAAAATGGTGATAGTGATCATGGTGATGACGATGATGATGATGAGGATAATGCTGATCTGAATCTTTGGAATCAGAAGACTGGGGATGGAGATAATGATGGTGATAATGAAACGTCGAAATTGGTGCAATCACCTCAAAATGGTGATAGTGATCATGGTGATGACGATGATGATGATGAGGATAATGCTGATCTGAATCTTTGGAATCAGAAGACTGGGGATGGAGATAATGATGGTGATAATGAAACGTCGAAATTGGTGCAATCACCTCAAAATGGTGATAGTGATCATGGTGATGACGATGATGATGATGAGGATAATGCTGATCTGAATCTTTGGAATCAGAAGACTGGGGATGGAGATAATGATGGTGATAATGAAACGTCGAAATTGGTGCAATCACCTCAAAATGGTGATAGTGATCATGGTGATGACGATGATGATGATGAGGATAATGCTGATCTGAATCTTTGGAATCAGAAGACTGGGGATGGAGATAATGATGGTGATAATGAAACGTCGAAATTGGTGCAATCACCTCAAAATGGTGATAGTGATCATGGTGATGACGATGATGATGATGAGGATAATGCTGATCTGAATCTTTGGAATCAGAAGACTGGGGATGGAGATAATGATGGTGATAATGAAACGTCGAAATTGGTGCAATCACCTCAAAATGGTGATAGTGATCATGGTGATGACGATGATGATGATGAGGATAATGCTGATCTGAATCTTTGGAATCAGAAGACTGGGGATGGAGATAATGATGGTGATAATGAAACGTCGAAATTGGTGCAATCACCTCAAAATGGTGATAGTGATCATGGTGATGACGATGATGATGATGAGGATAATGCTGATCTGAATCTTTGGAATCAGAAGACTGGGGATGGAGATAATGATGGTGATAATGAAACGTCGAAATTGGTGCAATCACCTCAAAATGGTGATAGTGATCATGGTGATGACGATGATGATGATGAGGATAATGCTGATCTGAATCTTTGGAATCAGAAGACTGGGGATGGAGATAATGATGGTGATAATGAAACGTCGAAATTGGTGCAATCACCTCAAAATGGTGATAGTGATCATGGTGATGACGATGATGATGATGAGGATAATGCTGATCTGAATCTTTGGAATCAGAAGACTGGGGATGGAGATAATGATGGTGATAATGAAACGTCGAAATTGGTGCAATCACCTCAAAATGGTGATAGTGATCATGGTGATGACGATGATGATGATGAGGATAATGCTGATCTGAATCTTTGGAATCAGAAGACTGGGGATGGAGATAATGATGGTGATAATGAAACGTCGAAATTGGTGCAATCACCTCAAAATGGTGATAGTGATCATGGTGATGACGATGATGATGATGAGGATAATGCTGATCTGAATCTTTGGAATCAGAAGACTGGGGATGGAGATAATGATGGTGATAATGAAACGTCGAAATTGGTGCAATCACCTCAAAATGGTGATAGTGATCATGGTGATGACGATGATGATGATGAGGATAATGCTGATCTGAATCTTTGGAATCAGAAGACTGGGGATGGAGATAATGATGGTGATAATGAAACGTCGAAATTGGTGCAATCACCTCAAAATGGTGATAGTGATCATGGTGATGACGATGATGATGATGAGGATAATGCTGATCTGAATCTTTGGAATCAGAAGACTGGGGATGGAGATAATGATGGTGATAATGAAACGTCGAAATTGGTGCAATCACCTCAAAATGGTGATAGTGATCATGGTGATGACGATGATGATGATGAGGATAATGCTGATCTGAATCTTTGGAATCAGAAGACTGGGGATGGAGATAATGATGGTGATAATGAAACGTCGAAATTGGTGCAATCACCTCAAAATGGTGATAGTGATCATGGTGATGACGATGATGATGATGAGGATAATGCTGATCTGAATCTTTGGAATCAGAAGACTGGGGATGGAGATAATGATGGTGATAATGAAACGTCGAAATTGGTGCAATCACCTCAAAATGGTGATAGTGATCATGGTGATGACGATGATGATGATGAGGATAATGCTGATCTGAATCTTTGGAATCAGAAGACTGGGGATGGAGATAATGATGGTGATAATGAAACGTCGAAATTGGTGCAATCACCT